CAATTAGAACTAATACAAATTTTGTTTGTAGGCATGGAGGTGATAGCGGATCCTGGACCGAGTGATCGTTCTGTCCTCACACTGCAGGCCTCACACAGGAGTGAGGATGTTTGGCTTGGCATGGATGTGCAGGTTGATAGGTGCCGCGAGCATCTGCGGGGTTTGTCCCATTTACATGTCGACCCCAGAGTCCTAGCCTATGTTCGTGCTGCAGGTTTTTTTTACACTGCACAGGTTAGTGGCTACTGTGCCTTTAGATAGAGCCCTCCTCACTGCTCTACTTGAGCGTTGGAGGCAGGAGACACATTCATTTCACCTCCCTGTTGGTGAGGTCACTGTGACATTGGGAGATGTGGCTGTACTTACCGGGTTAGAGGTTGATGGGAGAGCTGTTACAGGCACTGCTTGTCGACAGTGGGTTGATGAGTGTGAGAGGTTGTTAGGCATCCGCCCCGTTCTTAGGGCTGACCTTCAGGGGTCATCTCTTAGGATGCCATGGTTGAGGGAGCACTTCCAGGCCCTTCCTCCCGACGCTGATGAGATGATCATCCAGCAGCATGCTCGTGCGTATATATTGATGATGATGGGAGCCTCCATTTTCGCTGACAAGAGCGGAAATGAGGTTCAGGTGCTACACTTGCCTTTGCTGGAGAGGTTTGATGTAGCAGCACAGTTTAGCTGGGGTAGTGCCACCCTGGCTTATCTCTACAGGCAGCTGTGTCGCGGGTGCCAGAGAGGGAGCACAGAGCTGGGGGGATTTTTGCTACTCCTCCAGATTTGGTCATGGGAGTATATCCACATAGGCCGTCCCATTATAGTTGGATATCATGGCATTGATGGACAGCCACTGCCTGATGAGCCTCCACGTCTGCTAGGACCACATCATGTACGGGGCGTGGACCCTCTTGGCCGTCAGTATGTTTTCAATCGTTTGTATTTGTGTTAGTTTTTGTTGAATGTAAATGCATTAATAAAATCCATATTATTGATATTGTAACATGAATGGTTAGGTGGCTATATGCTGGTTTATCTCGCATGTCATCCGCTACTGGCCTCGGTGTGTACAGGGATGCATTGGATCGGATGTCAGAGGACCAGGTATGGTGTGTGTATTATAACAGTAAGTAGAATAGGTGTAGAATAAATACTAATTTTGTATGTTTACGAAACAGATCACATGGATGCCGTTTAGACCTGATATGTTAGCAGAGTTGCCCCCAGCTGGACGAGAGCAGACTCACATATGGCGAGCACGTGTGCCGCTGATATGTTTTGACATTGTTGAGCTTCATTTGCCTGATAGAGTCATGCGACAGTTTGGGTTTGAGCAGGTCATTCCACGTCCTATCGACACTTATGTAGAGCTGCATAAGCTGGATAGGCGTGGGAAGCATACAGAGGATTGGGCACTCAGACATGTCCGATACGTGACTATGTGGGATAGGAGAGCTGAGCTAGCTGTGGCTGGGACACCCACATATGTGCCATCAGTTTCAGGAGATTACATGGGATGGTACTACAGCATCACTCGGTTGTTTGTGTCTCCTTCGTTCAGACTCCCTACTCATCATTATCAGCCTAGCTCATTGGCATTGCATCTTACGGTGAGTATACATCATCTTACAGCATCTTACTTGTATGTATTTCAATGTAATTGTAATTGTGTTTCGTATTGCAGACACGAGCTTTGCAGCGCATACATCACGGGCTACTGCCACTGTGACTGATATTCCTGATGTGGACATGTATGGACAGACTCTGACAGGCATTGCCTCGTTATGCTCAGATGTGTTGGGTCGAGTAGACTACGGACATCTTATACACATGCCCGCATCTCAGGAGATGGCATCCACGTCTAGTGCAGCCGCGGCTTCATCATCCCAGACGCAACATGAGAGAGTGGTTCTTCAACCACGACAACGCCGTAGGCGTAGACATGAGCAGCAACATCTCCATGACGAAGCTGATGATGGGAACTTGTAGTTTGTCTTTTGTATTGTAGTTTTTCTTATGCAGTAGATGTTGTAGGAACAATTTACAAGTTTTGATGTATTTTCTCTTGTGAAGTATTCTATGTTGTATTGATGTGTTCGAGTATGAATATTAGATGATTATTTGTTATGGCATATATGATGATTGAACTGTGTTATACCGGTTATGATTTGAAAGTTTTTTAGCGGTGTTTATAAGGTGTTTTTTATGTTGTTGAGAGTAGGTGATTATCATGTGTTGTATCTAGTTTGTAACACTTCAAAAGGAGAAGGGAGACCTTATTTGTAGCAAACAGATCGGTCTGGATTGAATCGGGGCGAAAAACAAGCTGAATTGGTGTTTTAGGAAATAGGCACGATCGTGCCTACCCTTGTAGGCACGATCGTGCGTGGCTGGCAGTAGCTGCTCGCCTCAAACCATATTTCAGGGAAAAGTCGCCCAACGGTTTGGGCGACTTATAAGTCGCCAAACGGTTTGGCGACTTATAAGTCGCCCAACCGTTGGGCGACTTTCCCCTGACCATGGTTACGGCCAGCAGTATTTTGGTAAATACTTTTTTTCCAGCATTATTTCCGTAATTAATTAATTAATTAACATTAATACGGAAAAAAACTCAAGAGAAAATGACTTAAAATGCGAAAATGCAATCACACGGCCCACCCTAGCAATCATCTATATAATCAATCTCTTAAATGAAAGTAGTTGTCTTGTTTGTTCACAAAAAAGAGATCGAAGGGGACGAGACTTAAGATTCAATTTTTCTTATAACAAGATTCCAATCAATATATATATATAAAAGAGAAACTTTTTAAGAGCATACAAAGCGCCACATAATACTGCCATATCATTACATATATTAATATTTAGTTATTTTTATACCTTCTATTTTATTAGCTAGATTCTGTTTTTAATTGCATATTGATATGGAAACAAAAATCCGTACAAATCCACCTTAATCTATTTGGTAACTTTTTCAAAAATCATTAATAACCCGTACATATTATTATATTGTTTACAAACCATATAATACTAACAAATATTACGAGACTCTTGATCCCTACTTAATAAAAAATGGTACAACAATCTAAGGATTTTACATATATATGTGCATATATTACGAAAACTTATTTTGGTGTACAAAAACGAACTTATTTTGGTGTACAAAAACGTGAATTGCATAACATTTAACATTTATAAGAATAATGATAATGATATCTTAAAACATGATAAATAAGTAAAAGTCAATAACAAAGTACATACCATATTAAAGAGATGAATTATTCATTTTTTGCCCACTTAACAGATAAATCAGCCAAATTGCTATTAATTTTGTCTTCAAAGTAATTTGATAAAAATAAAAATGTAATAATAGTGTCCCTCTTCCTAAAATGTACGGAGTAATATTTTATTTTTCTAAACTAAATGTTGAGATAATGATTAGAAATTTTGTTCAACAGAGATAATGATTAAAATTCTAAGCCCCGGATTTGCAATTGTGTTAATACTTCGCATTTTGCTTCATCTTCATACACTTCTTTCTTAATTATTAACATAATGATAAAAATTATAACCACCATATAATTGAAATTAAAAACGAAATTAAATCTATTAGATATTCTAATATAGAATCTTAAAATAATACTTCTGATCAAGTAGTTTACTTAATAAGGATTAAAATTGATATCAAACATAAATACATACATGTATGTATATTTTCACAAGTAAATACATTTAGGCCTAGCCAAAGAAGTAAATATGTTTGGTTATTTCTTTATTTTACAACTACAATTTAAATGTGCATTCACTTTTGAAATAGGTTCCTAATCCAAATTAGAAAATCTTTATATGTTTACAAATTCCTACTTTTATTTTAATAGATTTTTTTAATTGGATTGATTTCAGTTCCTAATCAAATCAGATCAGATTAAACTTTAATAATAATAATAATAATAATAATAAGTCACATAAAATGTAAAACAAACATATACCAGACCATATTAATTCATACCAAATCAAACCCAAAATTTTAATTCAATTAAAAACGTCCTTATTAATGAGTAAAATGTAAGATCTCACAATTAAAAGTTTTAAATGTGTATTTCATACCAAGTTGAATGAGAAATACTAGAAAAATATTGTTTTGAAATGCTCAATAAAGTAATTTAGATGTTCATAACAATTAAAAGTTGTTTTCAATGTAACGAAATAATGAGTAAAATGTTAAAAAACATAAACTGCCCTAAATAGGAGTAAAAACGTTTTGAAATATCAAAATAGGAGTATCATGTTTTTTATTCCCTCAATAGGAGTAAATTTTTGCCATATTTGGAATAACTAGACTTTTAAACATGACATTTTTTCCAAACTTGGCAGATTACTCCTATTCAGAGAATAAAAAAGATGATACTCCTATTTTGGAATTTCAAAACATTTTTACTCCTGTTTAGGGAATTCTCTCTTGAAAAAACTCCATTGTTTTACATTTAGGGACTTACGGTGTGACGAAATAATGAGTAAAATGTAACATCTTATTATTAAAAGTTAAGGGTATGTACTCAGTATTTCACATCAAGTTGAACGAGGAATAGTAGAAGAAAAAAACTTGTGGTGCATAATAAAGTAATTTAGAGGACGTGGGATTATGAATTCTTTAAAATCACGTTCATAGCAATTATATTTACTTGAGATGCTTATGTAGAAGGTCGATTTAACTATTTTTCATATAATCTTTTCTTGGCTTCACAAATGGAATATATTTACAATTTTTTTTTTCATGATTTAGGAGATTCCACCCATTCGGCTAGAATTTAATCAATTTCAGTAAAATTAGTTAATTCGATTTACTTCAGTTATCAAACAACCTCTATATTAGACTAAGTTTATTTTTCTTTTAAATCACATTACATATGATCCGAAAGAAATCAAATTTCAAATTAGCTAAATTATATATACTGCCTGTGCATCGCACGGGCTTGAAAGCTAGTTAATTAATAAGACTCGGTAGAATAGTAAAGTAAAGAATTAATTTCCTATATAGGACTAAAACAAAGAGTAAATGCACAAATAGGACTTACATGTTTCATAGGACTAAAAATACATTGGTTTGACAAAAATAACCTTAATGAAATTCTAAATATATTTACAATTAAAATTTAAAAATCTAAAAAACAATTTCAAAAACCTAGCTACGATACTAGGCTGCTGATGCCATGTACCAAAGTTGCCCGCTGCCACCCTCTGTTAATCAGCCACCGCCACCGCCCTCCACCAGCCTCCGCCGCCCTCCACCGGACTCCGCTGCCCTCCATCGGCCGCCGCCGCCGTTCACCAATCTCTCTACTACTGCAAATCTTAACGTCTTCATCATCAATGTCATTAAGTTGGCAAATGTGTACCAAATATGTCATCGCAAAACCTTCAAATAGAGGATAAAAGAAATATTTTTTCTGCCACAATTGCTAATATCCAGTTAATTGCCAGAAATTTAGAAAATATGCAGGCAATATCCAAATAATAAGGAAAAATCTGCCATAAAGTTGGGAAAAATCGTTACCAAAAAAACAGAAAAAACAAGGAATAATTTTGCATATTATAATTATTAAATTTGCCATAAATTTGGAAATATTTTGAAATGTGTATAAAAGAAAAGCTGATTTGCCATATAATAGCATTGCCACTATACACAGAATTGCCATAAATTTGGCAAAATATGCAAACTACATACAACTCACAAAAAACAGATCTTTGAAAAACAGAAGTTTAACAAATCAAACTACGAAGCCTGTGTGCGAAAATCAGAATAATCGATTTTGAAAAATCGGAAAATAAATCAAGAAAAAATCTGTAAAAAAATTAAAAATCATTCAATACGAATATGATTTTTTATAAGAAAAATAGAGGACAAAGAAAAAGGAGAAGGAGGAGATGAAGACGAAGAAGAAGATGATACCAGAAATTGGCTCAAAATCGACAGCGATGGTGGAAGAGGCGCCGTCGTAGAGAAGCAGCGTCGTCGTAGAGACGTGGCGACATAGAGGTGTTGGTGACGATGGAAAATAGATGTGACGGTTGAGATGTTTACGAGAGAGAGAGAGAGAGAGAGAGAGAGAGAGAGAGAGAGAGAGAGAGAGAGAGGAGAGAGAGAGAGAGAGAGAGAGAGAGAGAGAGAGAGAGAGAGAGAGAGAGAGAGAGAGAGAGAGAGAGAGAGAGAGAGAGAGAGAGAGAGAGAGAGAGAGAGAGAGAGAGAGAGGCGCAGGGAGATCAGAACGATCGAATGAGGGAGATGGGTGTTTAGGAATTAGGGTTTGTTATTATATAGAAGGGTATAATGGTAATCCGGAGTCCTATTTAGGGAATTAAGTTTAATTTTAGTTAGTTCTATATAGGACAATTACTATAAAGTAAAATTGTGTGATTGAGATTTATGTAGAGTAGAGAGAAATAATTTTGGCCATATATTTATTATTTTAAATAGAAATGACAAACTTTTTTGAGACGGCAAAAAAGTTGACTTAGTTTTATGAGATGGAGAATATATTTCATTTTTTTCTCGAAATTTTGACTATTGAACTATCACCACTTGCGGTGAATATCTCAGCAATGTAGCGAGTAAACCCTAACGCGACCAAGGACGAGGTCGGCCTCATGTTCTCCTTCTTTGATTGTTTTCGTTCGCTCTTGTTTTTGTTGTTTCTAGATTACGAGTCATGGGTCACCCGTCGTTTTAATTTTGTCTAGTGCTCCTTTTCTGAGGTTCTTCTTTCATTCTTTTAAACATTTTTTATGTGTGGTTGCTGAATTTGTGAGCCACAAGGAGGATATCATTTTCTTGAGTTTTTTGAAAGAGGTTTTGTGAGTTATTGTAGTTAGGGTTTTTTTCTTTTTGTGGCAATTGAAGATCACTACTTTCTTTATCTATTTCTTGTTGTTTGATTTTGTGCGTCTTGTTGTGCGGTTTGGTTTTTTACTATGGATATGCTTCTTAAGACTTATAGTAAAGTCACCATTCCTGAGGAGGAAAATGGAGCTTGGTTCTAGAAACAGGCCCGATAGGGGGTGATGGCGAGGGCGATGGGGATATTTTGTTCTCAGGTGTGGCAAAAGTGGTAATGGATAAACCTGTTCGCCCAATCTCTTATCCTGAAACCATGGCCATGGTCTAGAGACCATTTCGGGGAGTCGCTATTCAGGAGATTAGTGCTTCCAAGTTTCTTCTCCAATTTTGACCATGAGGGCGACATTAGTCTACTTGTCGAGGAGGGCTTTTGGTCATTTGAACAAAACTTAGCAGTGATGAAACGAATAAGATGACGTACTGAAAGGCCTCTTGAAATGCCCTAGATCGTGCAGACTTTTGGGTCTAGGTTCACAATTTACCTCTAGGGTATATGACGGATAAAGTAGCTCGTGAGATTGGTAACAACATTGGGTTTTTATTCCAACTCGATGAGCACTCTCTTGGAAGAAAACAGAGATTGGTTATGTGTACTAAGGTTACTATTAACACCAATGTGGCTTCGACTAAGCAATTGCAGGTACGACAGGAGGGTGGGAATTGGATATGGGCAGATTTGTTGTACGAAAGACTCCCAATTTTCTGTTTCATGTGTGGCATACATAGCCATGCGGATCACTTTTGTCCTAATTCACACAGTGGTCCTTGGATGGGCGAAAAGCCATATAGGTTATGGTTACGTGTTGACATGAGACGGGGTGGCGTACACCCAGGAAACGGGTGAATGATCCCTAGTAACAACATGTTAGTGAGAGAAAGGAGGACAGGGAGAACCTGGGTACCTCAGGCAGAGCATTGGTTGATCAGGGTAACTATGTGGTGGAAGGGTTGATCTCAGAACGCAAGGAAGTGCCCCCTCGGTAGGAAGAACCAAGGAAGCGTAGGGTAATTGAAGTGTTAAGTGAAGACGGCGCCCAAGCTAACATGAATGTTGATAGCGCAGATCCAAAAACTTGAAAGTGGCGGTGATTTCCGAAGAGCACCGCCCAAGCCAGTGATTGGGGATCTCTGTGATGAGAAAGTGGGACATTTGACAGGGGCTGATCAAACCGCTCATTCCTTGTTAGTGGCTGGAAAAACTGGATATCTTCATTCTTATTTTTTCTAAGATATATATTTGTTCTCAATATATATACGACGACTAATATGCACTAATTAGTAGTGCATAAATGTATATTTCTATGTTTGATTTGTGTGTATTGTTTACCATTTTTATTAGTTTACATTTATTTTATTTGGTTTGTAATTGTTTTTAGCTTCCATTTATAAGTTGTAAAGTAGTGGTAGAGTTTTTTGCAAGGAAAAGGAGGAAAAACAAGAGGAATGCTGCCCAGGGACACTTACCCGGTCGGGTAGGAATACTCACCCGGTCGGGTATGATTTAACAAGCGAAAGTGCCTAGAAAATCATTGGACCCGGTCGGGTCAGATGTGACCCGGGACAAAACAACGTGCTGAAACACAAGAACGTGGAAGATTATTTGATTTTGACATGCACCCGGTCGGGTGGGCTGTAACACCCCGGCCCCGCAGGACCCGAGGTAGCTACTCCGGACCAATAGTACTATCCCCACAAACCACCACGAGCCTTTACCGCGCACTTTGTCCTCACTCATGCGCGCCCTGAGAAACTTCCCAGGGGGTCACCCATCCCAAGACTACTCTCGTGCAAGCACGCTTAACTTTGGAGTTCTTGGGTAATGAGCTCCCTTAAAAGGAGATGCACCTCTGTTGGTATGAGTAGTACTATTAATCCGTTTATATTAAATCTCAAGTGTTACAATCACCCCCACTTAGGATCGCAACGTCCTCGTTGCGTCCTTGAACCAATCTCAAATCTCAATCAAATCCCAGAATCTTCCCCCGCTAAGTGCCCGCCCTATATCCAACGGGTCATCACACTGTCGCGAGGTTGCTCTGATACCACCTGTAACACCCCGGCCCCGCAGGACCCGAGGTAGTTACTCCGGACCAATATTACTGTCCTCACAAACCGCCACTAGCCTTTTACGCGCACTTTGTCCTCACTCGTGCGCGCCCTGAGAAACTTCCCAGGGGGTCACCCATCCCAAGACTACTCTCGTGCAAGCACGCTTAACTTTGGAGTTCTTGGGTAATGAGCTCCCTTAAAAGGAGATGCACCTCTGTTGGTATGAGTAGTACTATTAATCCGTTTATATTAAATCTCAAGTGTTACATGGGCACTTTACCCGGTCGGGTACCCGGCCCAAGGTGTTGAAAAACACCTATAAATAGCACACTTTTCCTTCACAAATAATCACTCCTTCCATACTCTTAAGCTCAGTTTAGAATAGTATTTCTTTTATATTTTTATAGCATGTTTAGTCTCCAAATGAGGAGCTAAACTTGCAATTCTTGGTGTTGCTCTTGAAGCTTGTTGATTATTAAAGTTGTGAGTTATTTTCTTAACCTCTTTCCTTGAATATTAATTCTTCCCTTAATCACATTCTTAATTAATGTTGGGGAGTATTGCTAAGATGACAATTAGTTAACATCTCGACATTAATTAAGTAACTTCGGTTAAGTAACTTTGGTTGTTACTTCGGTGAAAATTAATCCCTAAACCCTAAACGATCAACGAACCGATGTTTAATCGTTGATGGTTTCACAAGTAAGTAACTTTGGTTTATTAATGCACGGTCGTGGTTGATAAACTTAAGAGGGAATAATTTTGTTGGTTAAACCGAAACCGTTGTGTTGAGGTTATCAATCTCAATTGATTTCATCAAGGAGTTAAGAGATTAAATGCTACTATCAAGTCAGTATATGGCGGTGTTCTATACTCGACTAATAGTAAGGGTTATTAATGAATGGTCGTTGTTAATAACTACCCTCGATGAATTGGATATACTCCTCGATTGAGTATTCGAGAGGGGATAAGTTATAGATATAACAATGATCAACTAAAATATATCAACAAGTGGAAAGTAGCAAGACCAAGTCCTTTTTATTCTTGAATTAAATCTCATATAAGCCATTCATCTTAGTGTTTAATTAATTAAATTCCAACAATCCCAAAACCCCCCTTTTATTTACTAGTTTCATTAAAAAGAGAATTACTCCTTTCCATGTGGATACGAACTCTACTACGTTATACTATGTATAAGTGTTAGTATTGAATTTATTTTGACGCACTGTGACAAAGTGCTCGTCAACGGCACTTGTTTGATCTTTCAATTCATCTTCTCTATGCGGCCACAGACCACTTCATTTTTAGGTCAACATCTTTTTCAACTCTTACTTATCGTCCACCATGTCTTCATCTACCCTTCTTCGTCCTATAGGTGCCACTACACCTCTTAACGGAAAGAAATCAATTTTTAACAAGAGTTGGTGTTTGAGGCGGGTGGGTTGACATGGATTGGGGATTTGGGTTAGTGACATGAACAATGGCAGAGTCTAATATTGAAAAGCAGTAATTGACAAAGGGGTCGGGTCAAGACAAATGGGCTTCCTTTGTAATCGCTGTAAGGCGTTGTGTGGGGGTGGTATAACTAACAATAACAATTTAAACTTATTGAAATTAATAACTTTTCGAGACGCCAACTCAACTCATACTCATGGAGCACCTCTTTGACTATACCAGCCTCACCTAAGCTAGCTTCAAAAAACGACAAGCTATCATCCGCAAATAGCAAGTGTGAAATTTCTGGTGCTCCCTAGCCATCCCCACACCATGAGTATGCCATATCTTCCTGATAGCGTAAAAGCACACTCAATTCATCCACACGCGACAAGGATAAACAAGTAGGGGGAAAAAGTATTCAGTCGGTTAAATAGGTCCCAACTCATATTATCAAAAGGAATGGAGTACGAAACCGAACACTCACATTCCATAATGAGCTGCACCCACGTATCAGAAAACTCAAGTTGTTTGATTGCTTGTTTAGCACTCACGATTAATGGTAGCTTTTTAAGGGCCTATTAGGTTCGTTTATACATCTCAATATTATACAGTTCGGTTCAGGCTGAGAGGGCGTGTTAAAGTATTTATCTCACACTGGAAAGCTATAAAACAATATTTTTAACTCATTAAGGTAGAGCACCTAAGTCGGTTGGGTAAATGCTGGGAAACATTTA